GATCGAATTCATACTCTTGTGAGGCGTCAAATTCTTCGCAACTTCCTTGAAGAGTTTGTACTTGTCCAATTAAAATCCATGACCCTTTCCTTAACTCATTCGAATCTTCAAGCCATTACAACCCCAATAACACCAAACAATTCGCACGATTATCTCTGCTTTTCGCCGAATCGATTATATGATTTAAGACTTTCGCAAGTATCCAGCCAACAGGATCCATTTTCCCGAGATTTAGGTCTCGCGGAAATCGATATTACAATGTTATCGACATCTCGTGAAATATTCAATATCGACAGTGTGCAACATTTCACCAACACGTTATATCTCGGGATAGATATTTTGGTATTGTGTGAATATTTACGAAATTGGAAGGGAGTTGAAGAATTCGAGATGAAGCATACCGATGAATTCAAGGTAGCAATGAGCCTATTTTGGTCTAGACATTATCAAATATTAAATCCTTGTGTACAGGATTGGGAATGGGTGTATGTATCCCGTTAAAAATTTGTTTATATTAATTAGTTCAAAATTACTAGCCAGTCCAATTTTATTAGAATTCCGGAAGCGATGAAATCATCATTCAATGAAACAAACAATTTGGACGTGTCAGCTTTACCCCTACCTTCGATGTTAGTTATGTCTTATCAAATAAGCCACGACAAATACAAAAAAAAAAATTATTTAACCATGCTTATAAACACTACATAGATTTGGCGGAATAGTCCCGGAACCACCGGTTTATAAACCATTAAAGTGTGACCCTGCTTCAATGTAATTAGTTTTCTTTACGTTTTTCGCAATCGAAAGTTTTCACCGATTTCAAAACGTCATTTTTTAAAATAATCAGCATTCTTCCTTACCACAAATTTCCGCATACTCTTGAAGAAACCAACAAGAACCTCCGAAATTTGAAAAAAAAATTGGAAGAAAAATTAATACAGGATATACGTTACAACGAAGAGCCTGTTAAAAATTTGTATGAACATAGTTAAGCTCGTTCTTAATATTCCAACTACTTTCTAATGCTCCAAACAAATCCTCTTCCATAATCATTAGCACACACACATCCCTCAACACGCCGGATACTTTTTGTTCTCCAACTGATCCCCTAGATATTGATAACTTCATCTCTAACATTGCCAATGAATTTATTTGTGATAATGGAAATTCTTCAGATATTTCTCAAGGTGATCAATATCATCGTGACGAATTATTAACATTTGATTCTCCTCAAGCCATCCTGAGGCTTGATGGACAAATCATTTCCATGTCATCGGAG